AATTTATACCCGAATACTCGTTATAGGGATGTAATTGTTAAAAAAATTTACCGTCCTATAACGGAATATGGAAAAGTAATGCTTTGCAATGTGGTCAGTGAAGAAAGCTGGAGATTTGTTTCGGATAAATCTATAGATTCGAGCACAAAATTTCAAATGTTTATCAATAAAATCTCTGACTATGTGAATAGTTCCTTCCAGGAAAAGAAATATACAGGTAAAGCTTCAAAAGTACATTATGTCCGTTGGTTCACTCCACAATTAGAAAAAATGCGAGAAACTGTAGCTTTTCTTTCTGATGCATGTAAGCAAAATCCTACTGTTTTTACAACCCTCCAATTACGCAAATACAAAGCCATGTACAAAACTGAATTACACAAATCAAAGACGAACGCCTTTGATAAGTATATTTCTAATTCAAAATCCAAATCGAAAACGATGTGGAACTTGATAAATCAAAACAGGAAAAAGTCTCTATCACCGAAATGTCCCATCGAACCTAATTCTTTGAACATTTATTTCACTAGTGTCGCCGAAAATATTATTCACAAGCTACCCAACACAAATATTAACCCCATCAAGTTAATGGCTGGGATTGATGTGCCTATTGCCGTCTCATTCTCTTTTAAGGAGGTGTCATATAGCGATGTTCGTATCATCATTGATAATATGAAAACAAATAAAAGCAAAGACTGTTATGGGTTGAGTTTTGAAATTATAAAAACTATAAAGAATTATATTATTATACCTCTTACAAAAATTATAAATTCTTGTATCAAAGAAAGTATATTTCCGAGATCTTTAAAAATTGCGTCAATCGTGCCCATATTGAAAAAGGGAGATCTAACCGATCTAAATAATTATCGGCCTATTTCTATTGTCCCTGTAGTGGCAAAAATCTATGAGAAAGTGCTATCAAACCAAATTAGTGCATACTTTGAAGGAAACAATTTGTTCTCGGAACAACAGTTTGGTTTTAGAAAAAATAAGTCAACCACTGATGCAGTCATTGCTTTTGTAAATAATATATCACGCAGTTTTGAAAATAGAGAAGGCAATATTGCAACTTTTTTAGATCTCCAGAAAGCATTTGACTGTGTTTCTCATAGTATTCTACTTGATAAGCTTCGTCACTATAATTTTGGTACAACCAGTTGCCAGTTACTTGCCTCTTACCTAACAGATAGAACTCAATATGTTACTGTAGACGGCAGTAAGTCGAACGTACTACCCGTAATTCACGGAGTTCCGCAAGGGTCTGTATTAGGCCCTTTGCTTTTTTTGATATATGTTAATGACCTATGCAAATATATGGCTCGTGTTAGTTCTATTACACTATTTGCAGACGACACGTGCTTTTCTGTGAGCCACAAGTGCCTGGCAACTGGTAAACGTAACAGCCTAGTAGCTGAAGCTATGGCTAGTCGGTGGTTTAATGCTAATCGGCTATGTTTAAACTCAGGTAAAACAGTTGAAATGATATTCTCCCTGTGTAAACCTTCTTCATGGCACACCCAACCTTCCACCAAATTTTTAGGCTTAAATATTGATAGCCAATTAACCTGGAGCAAAAAAAATCAATTCCGGCACATTTTTGATACGGCAGTTGTCGAATAAATTACCAAAGCACATTCTCAGAGTTGCCTACTTAACACTAGTACAACCCCACATCACATACGGAATTCTAGTTTGGGGACATTCTACTATATCTACCAGAATCTTCAAACTGCAAAGGAGAGTGATTAGACTAGTTGCAGGGATTGGTCGCAGGGAGAAATGTAGTGGTTATTTTGTCTCACTCAATATACTTACCCTTCCTTCTCTATACATACTTGAATGTTTGTTGTATATTAAAAGAAATCTAATTTCATTTAATACACACCAATCTGTGCATAACCACTATACACGTAATAGAGATGATATATGCTTAAACCCCATCAGACTAAACAGAACGCTATCCGGATGTAACTATTATTGTATAAAATTTTTTAATATAATTCCTCATCATATACGGACATTACAATATAGGAAATTTAAGTTAGTATTGAAAACGTATCTTATTAGTAAATGTTTTTATAATTTAGGCGAATTCATTGAAAATGACTTTGGGGATTTATAGAAGTTACTTTGTCTGTTATATATTAATTTATAATGTTTGTGCTTTCATGTTAAGTGTATTAAAATTGAAATTGTAACTGTTTTATATATACTATATATCTGACTACTGACAAGTGTAAAGGTTATGCCTACTAACACAATAAAGATTATTATTATTATTATTAAGTAATTTTTGCATTTTATACGAAAGCAGGCCCGGAAGCTCATCATCATCACACAATGAAAGAAATAAGGAATAAGAAATAGTTACGCCGTACACACAAAACACAACAAACAAATAGCAACAGACTATAAAGCCAATCAGAACACTCATGCTGTTTGAATTTATGTCATTATAATGGCAGCAGGCAATAGCATGCTAATTGCACCGACATCAAATATATGTAATTCCAAGTTCATAACTTCACAAAAACAACACCTTGAAAGGTTCCACCCTGTATATACAGCTTACGACGATACATACATTTTTGAGAGTTGGCAACCATGCAATTTCTAGGTGGGAAAAAAAGTTGCCTGCGCCACCTAGAAAGCACGAACGGGAGTTACGTTTGGCATCTGGTCTTGAATGGAGGTAGTGAACGTTTCGCTCCATAAATGTTTGTTGTTATTTTGTGTTATTTAATGCAGGTAGTAATTTTTGCATTTCTTTATATCGTATTTGTGTTTTGTATGCCGCATTTTATATTTGTTGTGTGTTTGAATCTCTGTTTTTGAAATTTACTTTGTTTAACCGCAATGCAATCATATGTGTGATACCGTTATGCTATTGTTTTTAATTGTTTACATTTTTGGTGTAATGTTTGCTTAATTTATGTTTATTGATGTTGATTACTTGGTCTTGTCCTTGAAGTTACATTCATATAAGTTTTCATTTTATTTTAATACTTATGTGGAAATTGCTGATTCGTTTGATGTGTGTACTGACTTGTTGTTTGTTACTAACAATTTTCTCCGTGAATGAAGCAGTCTCGGGAAGGTGGAAAAAGAAACTGTAGTCTATATTTATGTGTTAGGGCACCTAATTCCGTGCACTGTCTTCGACATCCAACTGTAGGTTCGAAACCCCGAAACCAGGGGCGGACTACCCATCTTGCAGGAGCGAGATTACGCTAATCAAAGCTCTTCAGTTTAGAATCTATGTGTGATAAATGAGTGGCGATTCAATAATTTCCACATATTTTGTTTTTAGTCAAATTTGCCTACAAGGCCATGTAGTTTTCCATCTTGCTTTCAACAAAAGGACTTTATTGCACCAAAGATGAGTCACATCCTGTACTTTTAACCCTTTCTCAGAATCTTGGTACCTGCTTCTACCTGACCCATTGTCCCCAAAAACTTGCTTTTAACCTTGAGTGTAACCATCCTTGTGTATATGCATTTACTATCTTTGTTAACTACTGCTTAAACTTTTACAAAATATTTTGTTAATTAACTTTTGGACTGTTTTAATCAAACTGCAAGGTTTTTCTTACGTCGTACTCTTTTTATCCTTGGCAGTGACTTTTGCGAGAGTACGACACCTTTTGGCTTTGTTTGTTTTGTTTATATTAATGTACATCAACTAAATTTCCGGGTTTTCACAATCATAATAATTACGATCATTATTAAACAAACTTCTCACAATTTCAGTGTTTTATTTAAAATTCCTTCCCTACTGTGCTTCAGGTCAAAGCGTTGTCTACAACTAACGTAAGGAGGCCCTGCCTTAGATGTTTTATCACGTGCCACTTTTCAAATTTAAGCGGGTACTTGTTTAGTTTTAGAGGGAATAGTCATTCGGATGGCCATTTTTTTAAAACGTTGCCGGGTTTATTTTATTTCCGTGTTCTTGTAGTGTGAAGTTAGCGTAGAACCTGGGGGTTAAGTACACTACAACCTCATACTTGTTTTATTTTAGTTTAACAAGATAAAATAATAAATATAGAATACGCGTGCGCGCTTCTTCTAATGACAATGGTTCGCAATATGAATAAGGAATAAAAATTCGACTGAACGAAATTATTATTTCTTATTTCCTAGGCTTATTTCATATTTCAGTGTTGTGTGCAAATCCATAAAGATCAGTAGATTGAAAATTGTTATTCCTTATTTTTTTCATTGTGTGATGGGCGTGGCAGAGACTATTACAATCCTCTATACAAGCGTCACATCACATCAAACAATCGCACGGCCTTCCTTGAATCTCAAGTCGTGTTCGTCAATCGTAGATTTCATTTGCCTATTAGGATTTATTTTATTTCTTGTCTTCCTGCAATTTTACTTTTAGCTTTAGAATTGACAATTATCGTTGAGTGAAACTCTCGACTTCCGTTATTCAATGCTTATTTATTCAAAAACACCGCAAAAAAGTAAAAACCTAAATACCTCAGTGTTTTCCTGCCTTTGACAAACTGAAATCTAATGGAACTGGGCAAGGTCAATCAATAAATTACCAGAGTATTTCCACATGACCAGTAAGTAATCTTATAATTATTTAAACAGAAAAAGTAAGCAATAAAAGTGTTTTAATCTGATACGAGTGGGTACTCTAAAACTGTAAATATCCCACGCCATTGACTGTAACCCCCCTCCGATTTCTTTTTTAGATGACACCTACAAAAGTGGCCCATTCTTTACGCCTACTTCCGAAAATGTTCTATTTCTTTTTCTGGCACGGAAACTTTACAAATGTAAACACGGTGTCAGTTGAAGAATCTTGTGCTATGCCCTTTCACAGATCATTTTATTAGTTTCGCCAGGAAAGAATGCCGGTCACAGAACACGCGATACCGGTCTACCATCGTTTTTTTCATAGTAAACCATACGATTGTAGATCAGCATTAGGTGTGCTGTGACCGGCATTCTTTCCTGGCGAGACTTTCATGTAATCACACAAGTTTGAATTTTTTTAAAATGAGTTGTATTTCATAAATACACAGACAATTAAAAATAAATTGTAATACATATGAATAAACATTAATCCTATTAATGAATTTCTCCTCGCTTAAGACCAGAGCTTGAAAGAAAACATCAGTGTAGACCCTGTCCGTGAAAGTCTAACACATTATTCCTATAAATAAAATATTATCATCGTAATTAAGGGAATTTGTTATGCTCGGAAGGTCCTCCTGAAATTCCGTACGATGTATGACTGCTGCTGGTACTCTGATTCACCGGCATAGAAAAAATGATAGAACGAATTAATCCATCCCTCACTGAATCACCAGTTTGACCTTGACCAAAGGTGAAGACAACTCCATTGCACATTGATTGATTAGGGTATGAACCAACAGGATAAAGTCCTGTTTTGTGCAATACAACACCTACCTTGTACACCTACAAGACAATAGTTATTTTATATTTGGCCAACTGAAGAGATACCTTATTTCTCTGAATGTATATTGGTCGATTGAACGAAATATCAATTAGAGATCTGCATGAAACACGGCTGGTGAAGTGTGTGTAAGTTAGGCGACTACCATCAGCATCAAGTAGGTGTGCATACAATAATTCGGTGTATGAAATATTATGTTGTCGATCATCGTCGATAGAGTCTTGTGCTGGAACCTTAAAGAATGTATTAATTTATTATCAATAAAAAAGTAAAAATTCTTACTTGGATACCGAAGATACAAACATTTCGATCGCAAGTAAATGTCACAGCACAATCCAATACGCTAGTGTTCATACAGTCAGTTAAGCAAAGCGGAACGCGTGTACAGTATAACTTTTTTGCCAACTCACTACCGCCCTCTTCTGTAAAGTCTGATACATTTCCCCTTTGATTGTAAAATTTTATCATTGATGTACGAGATGTATCCATTGAAGATGAACCCTGAAAATATAAGTGCAAGAGGAAAACAAAATTGTATACAATAATTGGGTATAGTGCAAATAGTAAAACTGAAAAATACTCACCGCAAAAAGTGTTTCATACTGACGAGGATTCCTGCTGTGTAATCTCTGAACTCGACAAGTCGAAAATCCAGGTGGCATGGGTACTGTAGTAGTTGGTGAAGATATATTCATAAGAATAGCAAACTTCTCCGATTCGGTCAGCAAGTTTGAGGCAGCCGGGCCTTCAGCAAACTCTTGAGGAGTGAGTGTCAAAAATCTTATTTTCATCAGCGCATCTCGCAGCTTAGGATCACGTACGTTTGGTTCGTGGGAGACGTTTGCTAAAATCGAAATACATAATTTTTTACCTTGTCAATTGATTGGTGTGACTCTGTCTTTATGTTAGGTAAGTGTGTATAGTCTAGTGTTCTGATTCGATTCAAACAGTACTTTTTTTGTGAAATTAATGAGATTATATTTCTGTATAGAGATCTGGGAAACTATGTGTTATGTCTCTGAATTAATGATACGATAATGCATAGTTGGCATCGCTCTAATTTTTCGAGATGTAATTTTTTTATTACGAATTGAATAGAACGAAAAAGTAACAACTTGCAACTTATTTCATTAAACGTGAATATATAAAAATGGCGACGGAGATGGGATCAAAACTCGAGAACGTTTTGGACCGAATTTGTAATGTTTTACAAGATTTACATGAAAAACGCAACGAAATTCCACGGGAACAGGAAATGCAATTCCAAAACGGAAGGTACATTTTCACTCCTACGATGAGACAAACGAAACGATGGAAAACTTTATCGATCGATTAGAAAAACTATTTAGAAAGAAAAGAAATCGCAGAGGATAAGGAAAAGGTGGGAATGCTGCTTGAACTTATTCCGCCGTCAGTATTCCAAACGCTCACAAATTTGACAGTTCCGGAAAAGCCAAAGGCAAAAACCTACGACGTATTAATTAACTTGTTGAGGACACATTTGAGCCCGAAGCCGAACGTATTTGCACAGCAACATCGTCGCAGTGCGAATACAGAATGAGGGGAGTCTATCATGAAGTTTATTGAAGAATTGAAACGCCTCTCCATCAATTGCTCTTTTACATGTACCGATTGTGGAAAATCGACCATCGAGACACATTTGCGGACACAATTTATTCGTGGATTACGTGACGACGATATTCGGCAGGAGTTGTTGCGTCTAAAAGAGGACACAAAGTTCGACGAAATTGTACGGGAGGCGACAGCGATTAACACATCAAAAATTGAAAGCAGAGAAATCCAGAGAAGCCAGCAAACCCATAATAGTGAGCCTGTTAATGCAGTGAAGGAGCAACGAACATGGAAAGCGTACGGAGGCCGACAAAAAGTTAACCCGACATCGTCGAAAGAAACTACAAGATTTGACTTCACGGGAAAATGTTACAGATGCGGCCACGAAGGGCACCGTGCTTTTAGATGTTCCATGAAAGACAAAATTTGTGCGAAGTGTAAGAAGGTAGGCCACATTGCCACCGTTTGTATGCAGGGGGGAAACATTAAAACAGTTCAACAAGTAACGCAATCCGAGGATAATGATGACATCGTTGAAGACGATCAATTTGAAATGTATACGATTGGAAATATTTTTCACATGCACGGCGTAAAAAGCGGAGGGAGTGGCAAGTTTATGGTGAACATCCAGGTGGAACAGAACAATTGTGAATTTGAACTGGATACGGGGGCAGCAGTTTCGACGATGTCTTATCGAAATTTTTTGAAGGTGTGTCCTGGGCTCTCGATTTCCGACACATCTTCTCGATTGAGGACTTACTCTGGTGAGATAATTGAGCCACTGGGCACATGTAATGTTACGATCAGTTTTGGAAACAAAGTAACCATTGGGCGCTTATTTATTGTGGGAGATCATGTTGACTCTATTTGCGGCCGACAGTGGATTAGGATCCTGGATCTTCATAAACGTCCGCTGAATGACTTAGAAATTCACGAGGTCACGGTCACGCAAGCAAATTCCGATGAATTGTTGAAGTCGTTTTTGAAGGAATTCGGCGATGTTTTCGATGATAAATTAGGTCGAATTCCAGCGATGGAGAGCAATTTACAAATGCTAGAGAACACCGCACCAAAATTTTGGAGAGCTCGACCAGTACCGTATGCCTTGAAAGATCGTGTGAACGCTGAAATTGATCGACTAGAGGCGATGGGCGTGATTGAAAAGGTTGTTCACAGTCAATGGGGAACACCCGTGGTTCCGATTGTAAAATCTGACGACTCCATTCGTTTGTGTGCGGATTACAAGGTGACATTGAATCGATTTTTGAAGGATGACAAGTACCCCATTCCCAGGATCGAAGATATTTTTGCGAAAATGAGCGGGGGAAGATTTTTCTGTACACATGATGTCAGTCGCGCGTATCTACACATGCCTGTTGACGAACATAGCGCAATGTTGCAAGCCATAAGTACTGAAAAAGGGGTTTACAAGGTCAATAGATTAATGTTCGGAGTAAAGACTGCACCCAATATTTGGCAGCGCTTTATGGATCAACTACTGCACGAATTGGATGGGGTAGCCTGTTTCTTTGATGATATAATCGTGCAAGAATCAACGATCGAAGAAACTATGCAAAGATTAAGAAACGTACTGAAGAAACTGCGAAACAACGATTTGCACTTGAAGAAGGAAAAGTGCCAATTCTTCAAGTCGAACGTGAAGTATTTGGGCCATCGAATTGATTCGAGGGGCCTGCATCCTCTGGATGATAAGACCACTGCGATACGCAATGCTACAACACCTACAAACGTCGAGGAACTGCGTACATTTTTGGGCTTGATAAATTATTATCACCGTTTTATACCCGATCTGGCTACAAAGATAAAACCGTTGAACAGTCTCCTGGGAAAGGAGGTTAAATTTATCTGGTCAGATAAATGCAAAAAGGCGTTTGATATAATAAAAAAAGAATTGACCAGCGACCGGGTTTTGATGCACTATGACCCGAAATTGCCATTGATCGTGGAAACTGATGCATCATCTGTTGGTCTCGGTGCCGTGTTATCACATAAGATGTCCAATGGAATGGAAAGACCAATCGCCTTTGCATCCCGAACATTGTCGAAAAGCGAACAAAATTATAGCCAAATAGATAAGGAAGCAACCGCAATTTTTTTGGGCATTAACAAATTTTTCCAATATTGCTACGGCCGGAAATTTGTATTGCGCACGGACCATAAGCCGCTAGTGACGATCTTTAACCCCGACAAGGCACTACCAACGCTTTCAGCAATGCGAATGCTGAATTACGCAATATACTTGTCAGGATTCAATTATACAATAGAGTATCGGAGCACGCACGAAAATTTAAATGCAGATTATTTTTCACGTTTCCCAGAACCAACAAAGATTGCTGAAGACGAAACAAGCATATTTTAAACGAAGCAGATAGAGTACATGCCAGTAACACGAGAACAAATTCGACGAGAAACTATTAAAGATGAAGTATTGCGTAAAGTTTGCCACGAACTGGAGAGTAGTTCATCGAACCCGAACGAAACACAAACGAAGTATAACATGCACGATGGATGCATTTTCTATGGTATGCGCGTTGTCATCCCAAAATCACTGCAACAAACAGTTTTGAACGAATTACACGATGCTCATTTGGGAATGACGAAGATGAAGGCTATGGCACGTAGTTACTGTTTTTGGAATGGTATTGATGCCGATATTGAAATGACGGTAAAGAAATGTCGAAGTTGCTGTTTGGTTCAGAAGGAAGCCGCCAAAGTTCCAGTGCATTCGTGGGAGTTTCCATCGTTCCCATTTCAACGAATTCATATAGACTATGCTGGGCCATTCATGAACACGAACTTTCTATTGATCGTCGACGCTTACAGTAAGTGGCCGGAGATTTTTCCTACGAGGAATACTGACACGAAAACTACGATTCGAATTTTGAGAAGGACGTTTGCTAGGTTTGGTATTCCAGTTACGATGGTTAGCGACAATGGCCCACAATTTCGATCAAACGAGATGGACACATTTACGAAACAAAATGGTATTCGCCACAAATTCACGGCGCCATACCATCCAGCAAGTAATGGGCAGGCTGAACGTTATGTGCAAATGCTGAAGAAGGGTTTGCGTTGCATGGCAGATGAGCCTGGTGATTTGGATTTGAAGTTGGATCGCCTGCTGATACAATATCGAAAGGCACCGAACAGTACAACAGGTCAAAGTCCAGCTGAACTCATGTTTGGGCGACAAATCCGAACCAAATTGGTTCTCATGAAACGAGATCTGACCACTGAGATGAATGAAAATTCGTCGAATGAACCAGTATCACGAGAATTTGTATCAGGTGACAAAGTACAGATACGGTCATACCGAAACTTACGAGTTAAATGGGAATTTGGGACTGTATTCGCACGATGTGGCCTTACACATTATGATGTAGAAGTGGATGGCAGACACCGAAAGTGTCACGTAAAC